GTGGGCACGTACCTTCCTGACTGGGAGCCCATCCCCCCCCCCCCCCAGTAAACCTAACCCTTTCTTCTTGAATTTTTGTTTTATTTTTTGGGTTGACTACACTTGTTCCCCATCTATTCAAAGTACTATTAAGATGTGCTGCAAACAAGTGTCAATTTGTCAATTTGCAAGTAATCAGAGTATTACACCAAGAGAGGTTAAAATCAACAAGTGTTATTTAACCTCGACAGCACAATGTCAATCTCAAACTGAGTAACTCAGAGATGTCAGAGGTAGGCAGATTGAGAACTATCTGCCCACTAGAAACACCCTAGGGTAGTCAATCAGCCAACGCACTCCTTCAACAGCAGGAAAACTATATTTCATCAACTATCTCACACAAACTCCTTATTTTAAAAAAAAATGTTCTATGTTTGTTCTCCATCTTTTGAAAATACCATTAAGATGTTCCAAAGACAAGTGTCAGTTTGCAAGTAATTAGAGTAATTAGGGAGATGGAGATCTCTCTGTCCACTGGGGTAGTGAATCAGCCAACACTCTTCTTCTGCAGAAAAACTTCGACACTTCATCCACTATCTCACACAGGCCCTTCCCCCTCTCCTTTCTCCTCCCCCTTTAGTTTCAGTAAGTTTTACGCACTTTCAACACAAATAGGTCACGTAAGTGCCACAGATTAGAGGTGTCACAAGAAAGTAAAATACAAACAAAAGAAGGAGGAGAGATAAAGATGATACATGTTCGGCAGGAAAGAAGGTACAAACCACTCAAGATCCCCCGCCAATACATGTTTGGTAGGAAAGAAGGAACAAACTACTCAAGAACCCCCACCAACCACCCACAGTTTTGAGGTTTACCTGAGGCCCTATGGAAGATGGCCACTGTTCCGTCAGCCAGGGAGACTAGCACTCGTCCCTTCACGTGTCTGAAACACACACACACACACACAACATGACACGTTAGTGAACGAATGGAAATAAACGCATGTGAGAGTATCTATGTATAGTACGATATTGTGAAATGATCTGTCTTAATTTTCTTAGTTTTAGTAAGAGTATTACTGCACTTGCAACACAATAAGGTCATTTAAGTGCCGAAGAATAGAGGTGTTACAAGAGAGTAACAAACACACAAAAAAGAAGGAGGGAAGATAAAGACGATAGATGTTTGATAGGAAAGAAGAAGCAAACCACACCAGAGCACCCACCAACCACCCGCAGTTTTAATTTGAGAGTGAAATCCACAAACAGCCAACAATCGTATTGGAAACAGAACCTACACGAATTACCTTTGCTATCATTGTTAAATATAAAA